CTTTTAATTAATAAATAAACAAGTTTCTGGTACCATGAAATTGCAGAATAATCTAAAACGCACCATATTTCTGGAGAAATTGATGAAGAAAAGGAGTAACATAGGGCACAATATCATCACCGAGTGGCATAGGTTTGGCTTTGGTTTGTGTTCTCATAGCAAACATCTGTTTGATGTCCCCAGACAGAGAACTGTAAGGAGTTCCTCTAAGACCCTGTTGTCTCAAGCACCGTTCGAGCCTCTTCGGGGTCAGCCATGTCCACTTCAAAACCCACCATCCCCATATCATCAATAACCCAACAACAAGAAAACAAAGCAAATCTCTAATTATTACAAGGTGAGCTTCCATGTTTTTTCCTTGAGTGTGAGGAATGCTGTCTGCAAATTTAAGGTGTTTATGAAGCTATGACCTCTCTTTTATAAGCATTTTTAAGAGATAGATATGGTGGTAAAGATTAAAATTTGTTACTTAACGTTGATGGTTTTTTTTTTAAATTAAAATTACTACGGAGTGACAAGCGTCATAATTGTAAAATAAATAAACATATTTCTCAATTTAAATAAATAAAATAAAATCAATAGAATAGTATAGATAAATATGGTCGATCTAATAAATTTGCAATTAAATCTGATTTGATATCTAACCAGAAAATCTAAAATTAAATAAAAATAAAAAAAAAACAATAAAATTAAATAATTAAAAGAGATAATGAAAGGAGATAGACTCTAGCTTCGCTTTGACTCGACTCGTCTCGATCATTGAAATAGATTTTACTTTAGGGTTCTTATTAGTTACAATCTACAAGACCCAACTCTTGTAACTCGCTCTTCTCTCATTTGAATTAATCCCCGTAATCAATTCTTGAAAATTAATCTTTTTTTGGATTTAACTTCGACTATCGATGGTAACTCCAATATCTTCTTTAATGTTGGAAAAGTCTGTACTCGGATTATGCATCTCAATGAAAATCGAACCCGATCTTGATTTCCCTTAACAGACCGCCACTAAGTTTGTTCTTATGTACTTGAATTTGCTACAAGTTGATTTTCCTCCCTAACAGTAAATCAAAACAACATTCAAGTTAAGGTGCAATATTTGAATTGAAAGTGTAAAGAATTTAAAGATTAAGTCGATTATCTAACCTTGTTTCCCAAAAATCAAGAAAGATATCTGAATGTACGAAGCTCTTTTCAATTATCACGAAATGAATTGAGTCTCGCTCAACTATCGACTAAAAGAAATTTAGCTGAGCATGGATTGAATCATTCTTAGAATTGTGAAAAAAAATAATGAAAGAAAAGTAAAAAGATGAAAGAAAAGTAGAACTTAAATAAACAACCAAAGAAATATAAATTTCAATATAAGTTCAAAGGTTGAACCTAAGGGCATTTATAACCCAAAAACTCTAAAAAAATAAAATTACTAATTCCTAATCAAACTAAAAATCCTACCAAGAGTTCTAATAAAATAATTAATTCCTAAATAAAATAATAATAAAATAATCAAACAAAAATCTTAAATCTAAAAGGTTTATCACAAAAGATAAAAATAAATATTTAAGTCTTATACTTCTGGTTGATTTCTACTTTAAAACCTTATGCCAAATAAATTTCAATAAAATATTCAAGATGCTAACTTGACAATCGAAATTTGCTATTTTTTCGGCTAATTAATCTAATAAAGCTTATGCCTAAAATAAAGATAAATCAATAATATGCAATCGAAAAATAAAGAGTAAATAACAATAAATATATGCAATATAAAACACTTATCACGAAGAATAGGTCACTTAATTATTAGTTCAATTATAAATAAATTATAACTTGGTAACTTAATTAAAATATAATTTTAAAAATTCAATGGTCATTAAAATCGAAACAAATGTCTAATTTAGATTGTATAATAATAGTTTTAACTTTTAAAATTTATACATTCTATTACTTTGATAGTAATTTAAAATAATTTAATAAATTTAACTATTCATATTTAAAAATTCTATCAATTTAGTTCAATTTTATACTATGAATTGAGTTTATCGAGTAAAAAAAGTAGCTAGATAATTGCATTCTACAATAAAATAAAAACTAATTATTATTAAATTGTTATTATACCAAAAAGGTAATATATAATATTTTTTAAGAATAAGAAGCAATTTAAGAGAATAACTAAAGTATTAATATAATCTTTAGTAAGAATTGTTAAATTTATTAAATTGTGTAAAATTATGTTCAAATGGATAGAATATATAAATTTTGCAATTAAATTTTTTATTATATCATACTACATTATTATTCCTTTAATAATTAACGATCAATATAATAATATTTTAATTGAGTAATTAAATTATATATATATATATATATATATATTTAAAATAATGCATTCATAATTGAAATAAGAATAGAATGAACTAGGTATATTTTACGCACAAAAATGTCAAACTAAAGTTGTGAAAAATCAAAATCAGCTTCGGTGAATAGGGATTTAAAGTTTAGGTTGTATTCGAATATTGTCAGGTCAAATCAAATTGGACATATGTTGAGATAGATCAATTTGATGGTTGGAGTTGGATTAGGTCAGGTCATAATCAAATCATGTCAGGTCAGAGTTAAATCAGATGAGGTTATTTTTAGGTTTATTTGACATCAAATTCAGTTTAAATCAATATCAATTCAAGTCAAAATGGTTTATGTACGAAGCAGTTAAATACTAGGTTAATTCAGGTTCAGATGAACTTTAGTTGGATCTCGTTCAGATCAGATCACATCATTGACATACAAAATTCAGGTCGAATCTTATCAGATATGAATTGACTTCAGGTCAAGTCATTTTTAATTAATTATTTTTCGTCTTTCAATGTTTAAAGAACGTCAAATTGTAATTTGTAATTTTATATGATTTAGAATAAATTACAAAAACTATAAATAATTATGGGTCACTTTTGATAAAATGATAATTTGAAGTACTAAATAGAACAAACATGAAATTACAAACAATTTTAAAAAAAAAATTAAACAACACACATAGATGAGTGATCAAATCAAAAAAATTATAAAATGTGAAGTTAAAATTAATATAAAATGGACTAAATTGCATCAATTTAAAAAGTTGATGAACAAAAGTTAGGGTTTGGAGATTATGATATAATTTATATAATTTGAAATGAAGTTTATTATGTGATTCATAAGGTTTGAAGTAAATTACAAAAATATTAATAAGTATGAGCCAATTTCTTATACAAATACAATTTTAGTAATTAAATTGAACAAATATGATTTTTTTTGTGAAATGTGATTACAAAGTAATATATATTCTAAGTAATCTCAATCATTTGACAATGAATGCTCGATCACTCTTGTAGTCGCTGGTGTTCGAACTTGTTCTCTAAGAACAAAAACAATTCCTTTAACCTCTTATGTAAGGTGATTCGTGCAACAAATGTGAAATTATAAATAAAGGAAGTATGATATATATATAAAGATAAGTTGGTTCCTTTAACCATTAATTGTTTGCTTATCCCTTAAGCAAAAGGAAGTTAAAGATTCAATCCAAAGATGAAGGCATGTGCGGTAAAAACTTATTTATAATGAGTTTATTTTTGTAATATATATTTGTATATATTGTAATGAACTTAATATAATAAGATTGATTTTTAAAAAAAATATGTATATATATAATATAAGTGTATATATAAGTAATCATATTAATTTTTTAATTTATTATAAATTTAAAATCTCACAACTTCATAAATTGTAACTTATAAGTAAATATATATCATATTAATTCAATAACAAATCATATTATTCACAGGTTGAATTAATTACACAGGTCTGGTTGATAATAGGTTGAATAATACAATTTATTTAACAGGTTAATATCAAGTTTAAGTTTATATCATTCAGATGCAGGTTGAGTTTGATTATCAAATAATCAATTCAATTCGAATTCAAATCTTTATCAAATCGAATACACATCAAGTTTGAATCCATAAATTTTAGGTCCAACCCGGATTCAAATCAATGTCAAGTCGAACTGGAATCAATTTTAGATTACTACCACTTGTGTTACAAATAATTTTAAATTAAATCAATTTTACGGATCAAATCAGTTTGTTACATTCCCGTAGGCGATTGGTACACGTGATAAGAAAGACTTGCGTGTTTAAAGCATGAGGCGTGGTGACCACATAAAAGTTAATAATTTATTTATTTTTATAAGTTTGTACGTGCAAATAAATAGAATTGATGACAATAATATTAGTGACAAATTTTCTAAATTTTGTGTTAAATTTTAAAAATATAATGATTTTTATTAATTTTCTTACAAGATAATTTAAGTTGTACGTGGGTTAGAGTTTAATATTACATTTTAAATAATTTATTTTAGTGATAATTAAATTATAACATCAATTTTATTTCGATTAATAATAAAAAATCATTAAATGTATTACTAAAATTTATATAATAACACATTTAATAATTTAATAAATTTAACTAATTTATTTTAATTCTGAATAATTCAATAAATTTAACTCTTATTATTTATAAATTTTATTAATCTCATCCTCATAAACATTATCATCTTCTCAAGCCACCTGAACCACAGCCAGTCAGCCACCCCAAAATTTTAATTTTTCCCTTTATTCGTCGTTTTTTTAATCTATATAAATAAAGTGTTAGAAAAATTGGAACAAAAAATATTTAAATTATTAATTAAATACTATTTAATAATGATATGTAAAAATATTAGATAAATGTGTCACTTTTAGGTTATTTATTATAATTATTTAAGGTATTAGTCTAAGTAATTTAATTTATCAATAATAGAAGTTAAATGATATAATTTAATTAAATTAACGATTTGATATTCAAATAAAAATTGAAGTTAAATTCAAGATCGAAAATATAAATTACTCAAAACAAAAGGATAAAATCCGAACCAAGAATCACTTACCTCCAACGAGTTGAACGAGTTTTAACCTTACTAATTACTCTTATTATTCATAACTTGATGCGAATTGTTGGTAGCAAGTTATCATAAAAGACAACTTACTGAAAAAAGGGGCATAGCATATACATTATTTTGAAACCTATACATCTCTCTGTCAGAAGAAAACAATATTTGTTTTACCATTATTTCGTTATTAGACCAACAAGGAGTGCAATTGTCGCAATAACGGCCTGCAAAAGGCACCAGCTTCGTTAAACATGGGTTGTTCAATGGACAAGTAGGGATCGAGATCGGAAAGAAACAATATTCGAAACCCGAAACAGACGGACTTCATCTAAACTGCCCCCGACACAATCTAAAAATATAAAAATGGAGAAACTATTTGAAAAAGAAAGAAGTCTTTTAAGGTCGGATCAGAGCCTGACTAGTTCGAGCTACTTGGTCAACCCTTCACTAAAAGAATGGATCGAAGAGCGTCATGCAAGTTCTAGGTTAATTGAATTCAGATGTGGGTCTACGGGTAAGTTAGATTCTTTTACGTATTTTAAGGGTCCTTATAGGACCGTATCTCACACCTATGCCTAAATATGCATAGGTCATGAGTACTTGAAGAAAATGAAGAGTCGAAAATATATTAGAAGTCTACAAGATCATGTCCCTATCTTCGACAATGGCTGAAAATAGACGGAAAGGAAAGTTCATAGAAACGACAGACGAGCAATGGATTTTCCAACTAGAATTTGTGGATAGAGCCAAACAGGGCTTCTAACCAGTGGACCACTCATTCACATAGTGTGGAGTGATTCCACATGTTAACAAAGAACTTCTAATCTTGATAATGAAATTATAAACGGACACTTCGATAGCAGGAACATTGCTTCACCCCCAAGTATCGTAACCCAATTGACCACAATTTCTAAACAATCAACCTATGGACAAAGACAACGATAGTCGGAAGGAACTTTGCTTCACAAGACACTCGATTATGTATCTTAAAAATCCATCTTTTGAATATTATAACATTTTAAGCTTATTAACAATTCAATCTCTGTGGATTAACTTATATGTGACCTATGGTGATAAATTATAGCCTAAATAATAAAACAGCCAGTACAAGATAATATATTAGAGTTGAAGGTCAAGAATGGTACAAATACATGAGAAACGTGAAAAAGTGGCTAAGTTGATAATCAATTCAATGCAGAATGACTTTCATAAAATTGGAAAAATAAAGTAAAAATACTGAAAGAAAAAGATACGCCATTTGAGCAAGCAACATATCCGGGTTTCTCTCGGTAGTCTATCGTTGAACAAGCTAAAATAACGACTCCAATATACCAGGGAATGGCCCCAAGGAAGAAACCAATGATAAACCTTCAAAGCAACATACTTCTCTTATTAAACAAGGGAGCTAGGAATACAGAAAATAATGTCCAATATGATAATAAATATCATGCAAACTTGTAGAAAACTATGTCATGCAGAGTAAAGAAGTACACATCCAAGTGTCAATCGAATTCATTTTAAACATTTTCCATATTTTGGGATATCTAGCAGCCTTTACTTAACAACCCTGTCATGGAAATGGGAACATAAAGTGACATGAAGAGATAAAACATTCACCTGAGTATTACATGAGGCTGCTAAGTACATTGGCACTAAATTCCAGCCATTTCAAGTTTAAATGTGAAAGTGGTATAGTTTAACATATAGCAAATCAAAAAACCATCTAAGTCATAAGCCTCAAGTGATACCTAGTCAGCGTTGAATTCTTATACCATAATGTTCGTTTTTACCTTTGTATTGGGAAATATCTAGTGCAACAATCTAATCATGGTATACTTATCCTACTAATAAGTTTCTTCCTAGCCTCCACAATTCAATGCAATAAAGTAAACCAACTAACCTCACAGATACCTAATAAAAAATTTCATTCCAATATGGTATGAGGCCTCCATCTAGGACTTTATATTAACTTCCCAATTGTTCACCTGTAAAGGAAATATCCCTCTTTCTTTTCTTTAAAATCCATGGCAATTGGAGATAAAAGAACATAATTGTTAAATTTAAAGCACATGTTTTACTTTATTTCTAAAAAATCCTTAAAACAAAGAAAATCCCATAAACTTACAAGAACCATCCAACACCAAGGCCACAGCACGGTAGGCTATCTTCGGGTCCTCCTTCTGTTGGGAAATAAACTGAGTACAAGTAATTTTTCTATAACTAGATTAGTGAGAATGCGAAATAAAAGCGAAAAAATAATACCCGAAATTGATAACGGAGTTCAGCCAATTGTGCTTACGTCTCCGGACTGCTGCAGATCTTTTACTAAGAGAGAAAATTTACAAGTGTTTACAAAACACTCACTACTCACAAGAAAGCTCTCTAGTATTGGGAGAAAGAAATGATTTTTGGGATGGTTTTGAAGCTAAATGAGCTAGGGTATTTATAGTTGAAACTTAAGGACTTAATCTTGTAAATACCCTAAAGCCTAGGGATTAATTGTCATTATCCCATTATCATTTTTCAACAAACATCTACCAAACTTTGAAAAACTATTTTTCAAAGAAACATTTACCAAACTTTGAAAACCATTTTCAAATAAACATTTACCAAACTTTGAAAACCAATTTTTCAAAGTTGGTTGCCAAACTTGAAAACTATTTTTAACAATACTTTCAACAATCTCCCACTTGAAGACTGATTTTAATCTGTCTTTACACCTCGATCGATGCAACAACCTTTCTAGTCTTGTTATTCTAGCATGCCAACTGAAACTGAACACAACTTCAGTTTGTCCGTGGTCACCGTCTTTCTCAACATGTCTGCCGGATTCTAAGCTCCACTAATCTTTTCCAGTTTCAAAATCCCATCTTCCAGAAGAGATCGGATAAAATGATACCGTAATTGTATGTGCTTCGTCCTGGAATGAAAAGACGGATTCTTTGCTAGATGGATAGCACTTTGGCTGTCGCAATACAAGACATTGTTTTCTTGTTTCTTGCCTAACTCTTCCAAGAAACTTTGGAGCCAAACCATCTCCTTGCTGGCTTCCGTAACAGCGATATATTCTGCTTCAGTTGTGGAGAGAGAAACTATCTTCTGTTGTGGAGAGAGCAACTATCTTCTGTTGTGGAGAGAGCAACTATCTTCTGTAGTTGAGAAACCCAACTCACTGCAGTACCTCCTAGAGTATAGACATATCATGTAGTGCTCCTTCTGATGTCAACATTTCCAGCTAAGTCAGCATCTACATAGCCTGTAAGTATCGTATCTCCACCTTTGAAACAAAGTGCTTTGTTTGTAGTATCGCGCAGATATCTGAGGATCCATTTGACTGCTTCCCAGTGTACTTTGCCTGGATTATTCATGTACCTGCTAACAGCTCCCACTGCATGAGCAATATCTGGTCTGGTACAAACCATGACATACATTAGACTTCCAATTGCTGAGGCATACGGCACCTTCACCATGTGTGCACGTTCTTCCTCCGTCTTTGGTGACTGTTCTTTGGAGAGTCTAAAATGAACACCTAAAGGTGTACTTACTGGTTTAGCATCTTGCATATTGAACCTGGAGAGTACTTTGTTGATGTACTCAGCCTGTGATAACATCAAAGTCCTCGACTTTGTGTCTCTCTTAATCCTCATCCCAAGAATCTGCTTTGCAGCGCCCAAATCCTTCATAGCAAACTGCTTCGACAATTTTTGCTTCAAGTTTATAATCTCTTGCATGTCTGAGCCTGCAACGAGCATGTCATCAACGTACAACAATAAAATAATGAAGCTATTGTCGAACCTCTTGATGTAGCAACAATGATCTGCTTGGCATCTGGTAAAACCACTGCTACTCATGAAGCTATCGAACTTCTTGTACCACTGTCTAAGAGCTTGTTTTAAACCATACAAGCTCTTCTTCAACTTGCATACCAGGTTTTTGTTTCCTGCCTTTTGGTTGCCTCATATAGATTTCTTCCTCCAAATCACAATGAAGGAAAGCTGTCTTTACATCTTACTGCTCAAGATGTAAATTTTCTGCAGCTACAATTTTCAACACCAGTCTGATTGTAGACAGTTTTACAACTGGAGAGAAAATTTCATTGTAGTCAATACCTTCCTTTTGCTGAAAACATTTGACAACCAATCTTGCTTTGTAGCGTTTGCTCCCATCGTGCTCTTCTTTGATCCTGTAAATTCACTTGTTGTGGAGTGTTTTCTTGCCTGGTGGTAATTCAGCTAATTCCCACGTCTGATTTGACATAAACGAGTCCATCTCATCTTTCATGGAAGACTCCCACTTGACTGAATCCTCCACTTGCATTGCTTCATCATAGCACTCTGGTTCACAATTGTCAGTAAGCAACAAGTAATGCAAAGAAGGAGAATATCGTTGGGTTGGTTTAGGAATTTTGGAGGAGCGTCTCAGTTCTGGTGTGACTGGTTCTTCTTGAACTGCTTCAGGACTGATCTGAACATCATTTCCAGAAATCTCCTCAAACTCAGCAAATTCCTTTATTTCAGCTTCGGTATTGGAGCTACTTGATTCTATGGTTGACCTGTCTTTGTACATCACATTCTCATTGAAAATGACATCTCTGCTTTTGATGATCTTCCGATTTTCGTAGTCTCAAAACCGGTAACCGAACTCGTCACCGCCATAACCAACAAAGGCACATTTGTTGGACTTAGCATTAAGTTTACTTCTTTCAGCAGAGTCTATGTGTACATAAGAAATACAATCAAACACTTAAGTGTGAAAGGTTTATTTCTTTCTTGCTCCAAACTTCCTCTGGTATTCTGCCATCCAAAGGAACTGAGGGCTCATGGTTGATCAAGTAAGCTGCAGTGTTGATAGCTTCAGCCCATAGAAATTTGGGCAATCCGGCATGTATCCTCATGCTTCTGGTACGTTCATTCAGAGTTCTGTTCATGCGCTCTGCTACGCCATTATGCTGCGGTGTCATGGAAACTGTTGTCTCCATCTTGATCCCATTGTTTGCGCAGAAATCTCTGAATCTTCTATTTTTGTACTCTCCTCCATTGTCAGACCTCAACCGCTTGACTTTCAAACCAGTCTCATTTTCCACCATGGCCTTCTATTTTCTGAAGGTATCAAAGACTTCTGATTTCTTCTTCAGAAAATAAACCCATAACTTTCTTGTAGAATCATCGATGAAGGTGACATAATATAATGAGCCTGCAAGAGATGGAACTGGAGATGGTCCCATACATCAGTATGAACCAACTCTAACTTTTCAGCATTGGGTGTCTTACCAATCTTTGCAAAGCTGACTTTCTTTTGTTTGCCAAAGATACAATCCTCGCATAGTCCGACATCTACATTCTTTAGATCCGACAACTTCCCCTTTGACAAAAGTGTCTTCATCCCTTTCTCGCTCATATGGTCAAGCCTTTGGTGCCATATGTTTGATTTTCCATCAACATCTGCTATTGTAATGATATTCTCTAAATTTGAGGTTATATAGAGAGTACCAGTTTTCTTACCACGAGTAATGACGAGTGCTCTTTTAGTAATCTTCCATTCACAGCCTGAAAAGGTTGTGCTAAATCATTCACCATCAAGTTGTCCTACAGAAATCAAATTTCTTTTGAGGCCAGGAATATGTCTCGCTCCTTTCGGCGTCCATGTGGTATGGTTTCGCAACTTTAATCGGATGTCTCCTTTTCCGACGATCTTCAAGGTTTCATTATCGGCTAGATGAACCTTCTTAAAATCACCACTGACATAGTTCTCCATGATTTCTCGGCATGGGGTGGAGTGGAAAGATGCCCCTGAATCCAAGATCCATGATTCAATCGGATTGTTGACGCTTAGAATTATGGCATCACCTGTCTCCTCTACCACGTTGGTAGAATCCTGTGCGCCGATAGTTTTCTTCGGTGCTCGACAATCTCTTTTAAAATGACCCTTCTTGCCGCAGTTATAACAGGTAAAATCTTTCTTTCCCGTTCTTGATTTTCCTGTTCTGGATTTCGATCTGCCTCGGTTTGAATTTCTTTCTGAAGTTCTCCCTCTAGACTCCGTGTGCAAGGCTGAGGGGGTTGATACTTCACCCGATTCTCTTCGTCGAATTTCTTCACTCAATACCAGATCCCGAACATAGTCGAATTTTAATTTACTATTTCCCGACGAGCTGCTGACTGCTGTTACAGTAGCATTCCAACTGTCTGGTAGAGATGATAAGAGAATTAAAGCTCGAACTTCATCATCGAATTCAATTTCCACTGAACTCAACTGCGTTGTGATTGTGTTGAGTTCATTTAGGTGTTGTGCCATTGATGCCCCTTCCGTCATCCACAAATTGAATAATCGCCTCATCAAGTGCACTTTGTTTGAGGCTGATGACTTCTCATACATACTGGAGAGAGTCGCCATAAGACCCGCCTTGGTCTTTTCCTTTGCTATGTTGAAAGCAACATTGCGGGATAACGTCAGTCGGATAACTCCGAGGGCTTGTCTGTCGAGAAGAACCCAGTCTTCATTCTTCATGCCCTCTGGTTGCTTTCCTGATAGAGGTTGATATAGATTTTTCTGGTACAGAAAATCATCAATATGCATCTTCCAAAAGCCAAAGTCCGCACCATCGAACTTTTCAATTTTCACATTCCCTTCGTCTACAGCCATCGCTCCCACTCGAATCTGGTTTCGTTTGGATCGTTTCCGACAATTCTTGCGAACCACCGTGTATTAGAACACCTCCGTCGACAAGCTCGTATCGCTGACAAAATTTTTACTATTCACGAAATTCACTATTCACATGAATAGTAATAAATAGTAATCTCGCAAAAAAATTGACAAAATTCACAACCAAAAGCTCTGATGCCAGTTGTTGAGAAATAAACCGAGTACAAGTAATTTTCCTATAACCAGATTAGTGAGAATGCGAAATAAAAGCGAAAAAATAATACCCGAAATTGATAACGGAGTTCAGCCAATTGTGCTTACGTCTCCGGACTGCTGCAGATCTTTTACTAAGAGAGAAAATTTACAGGTGTTTACAAAACACTCACTACTCACAAGAAAACTCTCTAGTATTAGAAGAAAGAAATGATTTTTGGGATGGTTTTGAAGCTAAATGAGCTAGGGTATTTATATTTGAAACTTAAGGACTTAATCTTGTAAATACCCTAAAGCCTAGAGATTAATTGTGATTATCCCATTATCATTTTTCAACAATCATCTATCAAATTTTGAAAAATTATTTTTCAAAGAAACATTTACCAAACTTTGAAAACAATTTTCAAATAAATATTTACCGAACTTTGAAAACCAATTTTTCAAAGTTGGTTGTCAAACTTAAAAATCATTTTTAACACTACTTTCGACACCTTCATCAACAACATATCCTGACAGCAAAGATATCATGGGAATATCCACAATTAGAACAATAATTTTTTTACAACAAAATGCAGGCTTTGTTGAAAGCGAACAATCACGTACGGACCGATCTAACCAACTTGAACTCACCAAGTTGAATCACACAATGGACCGATCTTACACTGATTCTAGTTATACATATACATGAAGCAAACCATTCTAACTCTTCACACGAATTATAGCAACCTAAGAAATGAGCTTTGTTCTTGCATCTAAAGATCATTTTGGTCAGATGTACAGAATTTCACCAGTTTCCTTCATGTTCAAGGTGGTTGGTTTATCCTTATAGGAAATTTTCTGCCGGCCCTGACATTTTATATATTTGTTTTTTTATCTCTCTTCTCTGGAATCTATATCCATTCTTCATAAACTGTTACAATATTACAATAGCAAAACCTTTGAATCTCCCTACCCTCATTCATCAGACAACCAAATCCAAATAAAATTGCTAATGTATCTAGCATTTATTTCCCTTCTTCTTTTATAGAACTCCTAATATTTTAAACACATTTTCTTCTAAAACATCAAAAATTTGGATCATTCATCTTTAAAGAAACATCATTATCATTCCATCCAACAAAAACCCAAGTCCCAAAATCCTTCATTTCGATTAAATAATCAAAAAGAAGAAAGCTTTTTTAATTTTATACCCGGCACGGCCTTATAGCCTCGGGGGTAATGCTGAGGAGGGGTAGAGGGAGGTGGAGAAGGCTGAGGAAGCCCCATTTGCCCACGGGGCTGCTGCTGGTGCGGCCGTGGAGGGCGTGGAGGAGGGTAGTTAGCGACTCCTTGGAATGTTCCATATTGGTTCTGCTGCTGCTGATCTACACCTGAACCTCTGTTTCTCCCTTCATCATTCATTCTCCTCTGATTTTTTTTCTTCTTTCTTTCTTTGGGAAAGTTTAGATTGGAAAATGGGAACCGTTTACGATGATCAATCGATTTTAAAAAAATAATTTAAAAAAGTTGGTTTTTGTTTTGAGCTGTAGGATCAAGTTCAGGAAGCTGCTAATGCCTATCCTAGCAGATTGACATGTTTTAACATTTTAATACTTGGTAATTAAGGATATCCAGCTCAGTTGGTAGAGCACAAGGTTCTTAACCTTGAGGTCGTGGGATCGAGTCCCATGGAGGGCATTTCATAATTTAGAGGTCTTTTACGAAAGCTGCTCTCAATCTAGTGTTGGGGGCAGCCTACTATCTTACCTCCCCTTACTCTATTACATATGGGAACAAAGAACATCCATTATCTTTGCTTATAAGACCTAAGTATTCGACTCGATTCAGTTCAGTTAAAACATAATACAAATTGGATTAGTTTATTATCAAATTCGGATTGCATGATTGAAAGATTGTTAATAATTTACCTTGACTAGTTCTGATGTTGATAAAAAAAAGTTAAATATAACCCTTAGTTTTAGTTTGTATTAAAAATGTTTAAATTTAAACTAAAAGATAATAATCAAGTCTAAAATCCAACATAAAATACGTTTTATTCTCAATTTTTACCGAGTAAACCAGTCGACTCCAATAAACTTTAATAATTCAAAATTTATCTACGAATCAAATCAACACTGCAACATATGATAGGTCCATAATGAAGGATATCGATGAACATCCCCATCAGATTTGTAACCTTGGCTATGATTTAAAGTTTGAACCATCAGAACTTGACAGCATATTCTGTCAAAAACCAAAAATTAGATCAATGAAAACCAAAGTTTTGTCTGATCTTGCAGTTGCTTTCTAGTTCTAACACGAATCCAGGTTTGGTTTGTTGGGTTTCAGTTTTGTTCATTCAATTAGATAGTTCAGTAACTTATAGGGTATGCTTAAAGAACAAAAGTTTTGTTCATTGGCAAATATCTAGTAAATTTCATCACTCAACTTTCTCTGTGTTCTTATTTTGATCACTACAATTTAATTCTTTTAATGTATTCATTAACTTTCAATTTGCTCCTATTTTGATCACTTCGCTAAAAGTTTAAATGCAGTGAGAAAGATGACACCGTAGCATGCTTATAACAATATATGTATATAGTATAAATATTTATGTTTATACGTGGATTCTTCGCAATCAAGTAGCATGTCAAACCATTTATTTAGTATATCCACTGATATCGTGACCCAGAATCATGCAACAACTAAAATCTTTGCACCTATGGATGGTCCTGCAAAACCTTAGTTGGGTTTAGATTCCAAATCTTGCAACCCACAAACCACATTTGCTGGCACTGCAACATCAATCATCTTAGGATATGCCAAGCTAAGATCTGTTGAATGAGAAATTAGAAAAGGCGATCCAAAACCACTGGTAGATGCCAAGTTAAGTAACTTACTTTGCATGATGCTTATGAACGTTTCCTGCAAAAAGTATATTCAACAAATAATATCATACGAACACGCTCATTGGAGAAATTGAAAATAGTCTTATATGATCATAGTATGATGGATTGTTCTTGAAAGGATACCTCATCTTTCGTCAAGCGCGGATTATATAGCACCTCCTCTCCCACTGTGGTTACCTGTAATCAATGAGTTTTAATTAATCAAGAATCATTTGTATATGCGTAAGAAATCAGAGGGATTAAGTTATAATCTTACTGTGAATCCTTTGTAGTCATGGCCCGGATATAGAAATGTCTCCTTGGGCAATGTAAAAATCTGGAACCATGAAACAAATATGTCCATATTTTTTATTCAAATTTTCACAATTACAAGAAATTTTTGAGAATTAAAAGAAAGGGCACATAAAAAATCCCGTCCTAACCTGCGAATGGACCGACTTGTAGAGTTGCCCTGAATTTCCATTCTACAAAAAAAGAGTTAATTGGCAGTAATCAATTGCTATAGAACCTTAGGAGCGTTAAAGAAAGTTATCTTAAAAACGTAAGCATAACAAATATCCTGGAAGACGACCAAACATGGATGACAATGGCGTACATATGAAAAGAAATTGCCATACTGAAGTTGCATGTAAAACAAGAAATGACCATCCAGCTCAGTTGGTAGAGCACAAGGTTCTTAACCTTGAGGTCATGGGATCGAGTCCCACAGAGGGCATTTCATAATTCGGAGGTCTCTTACGGAAGCTGCTCTCAACCTGGTGTTGGGGGTAACCTACTATCTTAGCTTCCCCTTACCCCATCCATATGGGAAAAAGGGACAGCAAAAAAAAAAAAAGAAGTTGCATGTAAAACCAGTACATTAAGGTACTCACAGACAGAAAATCAAAGGATACCCCTGATAGTTCTATATTTTAGTTACCAAAGCAACCGATTATCCAGAATGTCATTAAAAATAATTGAATCATCGATTTGTTTACCATGAAGCTTGCGAATGAAAAATAACTACTACCATGTTCATGCAGCCATGCTACAAACAAGGCAAGCATGGATATGCAGAAGACTAGACATATATCAGTCAATTATTGGTTCAAGAATCCCTAACGGATATCAGTGGATAAAAACGTACATTAGTAGTCCAAACATCACAGAGGAACATAAAAAAAGTTCTTAAAATGAATAAAAAATCCAAGATTGGTTTTCATGCTTAATATTTTAATTTATACTTCTTCTAGCATCTTTAATAGTAACTGTTTGTTTGATAATAACAACATTAATCTTAACTCACCTTTTTTTTTCTTTTGCATCTAGGTGCGATAACATTTTCAAGACATTATACCTGAAAATCTGTCCTCCCACATCCCCTTATCAACAGGGCATCTCCTGTGAAAGCCATCCTTGGCTGAGGTTGATCAGGTCCATCTCCCGTGACATAGGTAACACAACCAGCAGTATGACCAGGAGTGGCGCGAACCTGCAATAACCAATAATACATATAATATAATATAGTTTACACATCTTATCAGCGGGGCACAACTTCATGCATTGTGACATTAATACTTTCTAAAATGACCACTCATTGTTCTTAAAACAAGTTCTGTGAACACTCAGCAATCAGAAATTGCAGGAAAGCAAGTTCTTGTCTCAAAATCCTGCAGAATCTTCATCAAGAATATTAATGAGAAATGTATGCCAAGTTGCATTTGATATTTACCTAAAAACATGAACCTGAAATAAATAAAATTTCATCACAAGAAAGCACTTTCTCCAATCTTGTTTCTAAATCCTGTTTTCAAGCATGAAACCTATTAGGAGCCAGATGCAAACAGGCCATTTGCTAAAGACTCAGTACATATGAGAGAAATTTAAAGTTGCACTTAAAACTGCTTTAGGCATTTCGAGTCATTAAGTTAACATACCAGGTAAGCTTACTACAATGTAAAGTTCATAAAGAATCATGTTTTTCTTGCTAATGGATTATCTAATTCAGTTGGATCATAAGTTTCTCAAGAAAGGTTTCTCATTCAATAAGTCGGGGTCACTTGTCTAAGGAAAAAACATAAAGAACAGACTTCAATCTCAAGGAAGGTTTTGCTCTGCATGATACTTCAAAAATAATTCTGAATTTGATCGGTTAAGATGCATCAAGATTCTGGTTCTCAAACTAGATTAAGAAAAGTAGATCGAATGCCGTAGAAACAGAATACTTACGAAACACACGAAACGGAATAAGGAAAAGAAATTGTTCAAACAGCTATTGATGCAATGACCAAGAACTTAAACAGAATATAGTACTGCAGTAGACCTACTGGCCATTATTCGATAATGCCCATTACACAGCATCGGGATTTTAGGGTCTAACCAAAACAACAAAATCAAATTAGCAATCAACTACGGAAGCCATTAGGATGCTGCTAATGGTATCTACTCAGTGCACTAAGATCTCTAACTCTTACTTTTTTTGAGAATTCATAACGTACCGGCAATATGTAAACCACCCAAATATCAAAGCTAAATTCTCCAGAATTGATCAAAAGACCATACAATAAAACCGACAGAACAAGCATGTTTGCATCCACAGGCCTACCTCAAGAAAGAGATCGCCAAAAGTGATTTTATCACCAGGTTCAACAAAAACATCAGCCTTGGCACCACTCGCTTTCGAAATAACAGATTTGATACCAGGCACCTTGTCCTAAAAGAAACATTCACATTCAAATACATCAATCAAAGAGCCAAATACATCCCCTGAATAGTCATAACCTGAAATATTCAATTCAACAGTCTCAAGTTTGAAGTTCAGGAAAAAAGATATGGTTTTTACGATAGGAAACAATCAAAGCAACAATAGTGGAATAACTGATAATAGTATTTATTTATCTCAAAGTGAAAAAAATGCAAAAACCTTGATGAGGCCAGTTCCAGTGATATGATCAGCATGTACATGAGTGTTCATGGCATATATAACCTTCAGCCCCAATTTTCTAATCAAACTTAAATCTCTATCAACCGTCTTGTCCACAGGGTCAATCAACTGCACACCCATATAATCATATCAAATACCAACAGAACCCATAAAACAAACGAAACCCAGATTTTATTTTTCATGGGAAAACAATTACAAGTGCTGGTTTATCAGGGTGAAAGGAATCAGCAAGGAGGTAAGTGTAAGTAGAGGATTCTTTCTCGAACAGCTGACGAAACAAAAGCCTTGAAGATGATTGAGACAACGTTGTAAAAGACCCCATTTGTGATCGTAGAGCAAAACTGATGGTCTGCTTTTGAGAGGAATAGAAACCTGAAGAAGAGGAAGAATGGTTGATAATAAAAGGAGAAAATCGACAAGCTGATAACCTTATGAATCCCAAGTTCAGCATTGTCAATTCCGCTATGTGGGGAAGGATGGGTTTCTTTTAAAATAAAAAATGAGATTGAGAAACGATTGGATCAAAGCTTAATAATATAAGCTCTTTGTAATTTGAACAACATCTTCAAGTGTTGTTTGTTTGAAAATATTATCTTTTGATTTGTTTGGTGGTGTCTGCTTGGGAAAGCAAAGAAGGGTTTTCTGTACTGTCATCGGGCATTCCTTAAACATCATTTTCCCACTTTTGCTCTTTTCTGGTTTCCTGGAGAAACGGTGGACTCATTGTAAAAATATATTTTTATATTTTTATATTTTATATTGATAAAGATAATATTTTTCAGTCATATCCCTAACCATCTTAATATACGGTTAATTTATACCTAAAATATTAATATTTTTTAACATTTCAAATAAAGTATTTAATAATAACAAAATCGATAGAAAAAATAATAGTTTAAGTAACGCTTTATTAGATATGTTAACAAAGCCAGTAAAACGTCTAATAATAACAAAATGGGTAGAAATAATAATGTTTTAGGTAATTTTTTTACCGAAAATATTAAAAAAAATAATAACAAAACCGACAACATCTTTTCTTAACCATATATTAAGGCTGTCGCATATGAAACTTTTCATAAGAAGACAGATTGTCTAGAGAAACTAATGGTAAACTATACAGATGGTTGCTTAATTTTTAGGATATTTTTAGTTTAACCATCAAACTTTTAAAACTTATATTATAATCATGAACCAATTAAATGACCTCAAAAGACTCGAACTAGAGTAGTTGCTTCTACAAAATGTGTCTATTATCAATTGATTAATAAAATTTTAAACGTATACTATCTTGTCAACGTCTCAAACTATTCAAAATCTACAACCATTAAATTTTTAATAAATTTTAATTTGATTTTTAGTTACATTAAAAAAACTGACATGGCATCTTTATGTTTTCTTCTTAAAATTCTTAAAGTTCTAAATGGTCGCATAAGTTAAATTTTTTATGAACATAGGAAGACTTTTTAGGCCAAAATATTAACATAATTAGGTTCTAAATTGATCTAATGGTCGACAGTAACGAAAATAAAGATGATTGGATGAGTAATCGATGTGGTGAAGATGCTAATGTTTGAACTTGAGGCGAATGGCTCACATTATGGACAATCTCTATCAACTTCCAATAATACAATAAATGAAAGAAAAAAGATTAAAACTATTTCATTCAACACGGGTATAGTTCATCATGTACAAACTGTTTTCAATTTGGTAGTTTACACATGATGGATTTGTATAACAATGATTAGAACATCAAACATGGAGATATACAAGAAACAGATCTATATATGTGTTCTTATCCATCTAAAACTTTATATTGCTGTACTATGGCACTGTTCTTCAAAACTCGGATGTCTTTTATTCGTTTATCTTGGATGTAATAGCAGGAAACAAAATGAAACATCGGCGGAACCTAAAGTTTAGTATCAGTCTAAGGAGTGTCTTCTACCTTTTTCTCACATTCCAAGTTCCCTTCAGAAGGATTTGTGATTGGCCCATCAGTTCCATTACCGAGCTTAACGGGACTGGTGACCTCATCATCGCCATCTATTTCGTTATGGCCTTCAACGGTGATTTCTTCCACTTGTCCCTCGCCATTTGTTTCAGGATTCAATTGGTTGTTTGAATCTGCTAGAATAACATGCTCCTGAGCATCATGCGGATCATCATTGCCACTGGAGCTGGATATGCGATTGGAAAGAACTGGTATTCTCTTGACTCCGGGAGATGACAGAGAATCATCATCGTCATCAGAGTCAGATTCTACTGGATACCCTTGTTCTTCCACAGCTGATAGATTGCGAGATTTTTTTGACCCTTTACGAGAAAGAACATGTTTTATGCTACGAGCGGAATTCCCGACATGTTTTAGGATACTCTTTGCCGTATCTTTCATTTTTCTAGGGCTTTCTGCACTGCTTCCCCCGGGACTCGAGCTTCCCTCATTTGAGACCTTATCAGCTGAAAGATTGTCATCAACTACAAATTTCACCAGAACATCCTTGTCATTTACCGCTCTGAGGTTTTCATGGGGAGAAGGAAGCGCATCTCCAAGGCTGCCTGAGTAACCCTCACTTTTGGTACTCCTCTGAAATACAGAACCGATCTTCCGTAAACCCTGCTTAACCCTGTTGACTCGATTCTTTGAATTAGGATTTTCTTCTGAACTGCTGTCATCACTTTTAATGGATCCGGGTGCTGCTAAAATGGTGCTTCTACCTTTCCCTTTCCTAGGTTCCCAAGTTTGCGACACTTCACCTCCAGGGTGATGGACCCATATCCCAGTTTCTTCTTGTCCTTTAACATCTATCGGTTCTAAATGATCCGGCAGGGTTGGAGGCTTCTTCAAAGACGTAGGGGAGAATGAACCGTTACCAGCATCTATAGCTGCAAAGGAGATTTGTATATCTTCCTCGTTTAATGCTTCAGCATCAACTGCATCATCACATTCCTGTGTAAACCGTTCACATATTCATTTCAAGTTTCTCTGCAGATTTTAGCTCATAATAATAATTTCATGCAAGATTGCAAATCAAAACCTTCCGAATTTTACTTATCAACCAATGGATTATATAGTAGATTACCTTAGCGTTATCTTCAAGCACAGTTATCGCGAGATGCAGTCTGCCCATTTTAATATTTCGAAGAGGCAACCACATGTCATGTCTCTGGCCACCCCTAAGTTCAGTAACACTTACCGAGCAATTACTGTAAACACAGCAAAATCAGTACGCCATATCAGACTGATAAACAAGTTAAAAGGAATTGGGAAAAATGGAATCTGAGGAAAATATGACTAAAGAAACGACAAACATGGTAGCTTCGAACCATTGCTAACCTGAGTAACAATGGAAAGCTAAAAGGGAATTAAGATTAACATCACAAAAGCAACAACTTGTGGTATCAAATCTCACGATTACAAAAGCTAAACAGATGCTAGTTTGAAGATAAACTATTGTGCAAATTAGAAAGGGCTGTTAACCTAGTGCACAATCTGCAAGGGCAAATGGAAATAAGCCTCAGAAAGTATAACAGGAGTAACGAAAAGAAATTTTGCTCGAAGATTTGAACATGACACACAATATTGTTATTTTAGAGATTCAGAGACGAACCCAAGGATATCATCAAACAAACGGTCTTTGTCCCGAACTTCTATGACCATTACATTAGGTGTCTCCCAAGAACAGATAGGGATCATATATTCCTCTTGCCACTTCGGGGACAAAGTTTTCTTATGCGTCTTAGTCTTGAATCTATAAGGGCCAAGTGTCCCCTTCACGTATGGATCAGCCAATCCTGAAAGTTTATATCCAGTCGATGACCTTGAAACCAGGTATTACGTGATAGAAAGATTAAGCATCTGAATCTAAACTAACCGTTTAAATCTGATGGTTTCATATCAGATGCTTCAATAACTTCAACCTTGGCATGAGCAATAGGTTGCTTCTCATCAACAGAAAACCAGTTTTCTGTGAGATATACAATCAACAATAAGGTGAATGAAAAAAAACAGAAGTGACAATAACAATATTAACTCGTGTGAAAATAGTTAACCGATGATATGTTATGACCTCGGAATGAGCAACAAGTGAAACATAAGAACAATGAAACATGGGAAAATAATGACTAAATTACCTGAACTGGGTGAAGCAAACTTCTCAACATCAACAACCAGCATATTAGGCTGCAAAAACAAAAAATATTTAGAGCTAAAGTTCGATCGTCAAAGGCAGATTGCGGTAACTTAAACCTGTAAGTACATCCTAAACCTGGGATGTGCCCTTGCAGAACGTAAGATGGAACAGGGTAGGGCAATAGAGTTAAGAAAAACTAACCTCAACAAGTGTCTGCTCAAATGCTATCGAGAGAAGTTTATCCTATCCAAGCAAACAAGCATACATAATAAGTTTAGGAGAAGGGGAAAGATAATAAAATAGAAATTAGATTTGTTCAGAAAAAAGAGTCATTACGAGCCATCCAGCAATCCCTGGAAGTTCTGTAACATCAAGCCCATGCGTAAAGATAGGTTTCACAGTCATTTGAAAGTATGGAGGTTCAGCAAAGCATACTCGCAGACGGCCAAGGAAAGGCCACTTCCGTATAAACTTCACCCCAATCAAAACCTGCAAGATAGAGTAAATGAAAATTAATTAGCTAAGTCAATAAAATAAGTATTTGCATTGGGCAGGATGGGTAACATAGCTAATACTACAGTAACTGATGCAAACTCCACCGCAGCACTACTGCTTAGGAGAGGAACTCTTTTCATGTGCATCGTAGCTAACACTATAAAAAAAATAACCAGTTCATTTTTATCAGAACCTTTCCTTCAACATGCATGCCTGTTACATGCATCTTTGCCCACATACCGCCCAGTCTTTTCCTTAATTTCACAGCAAGAATTGCACTCATGTCATCTGCTGTGAGAAAATTCATTCCCAACTCCAGTACCTGCAATTGGAAAATAAGAATTCCATTATCCAAAAAGTTGAAATGAGAAACCAATGCAACTATGATTTTATTTCGGGAAGAGTGGGGGTTAGGGAGAACACATACCAAGTGGTCATCGTCAGAGCATTCACGAAGAACTCTCATCTCCGTGAACAATGGAGGTGTTCTTCCAAAATATAAGTGCTGAACCACAGCCTTTTTCTGCAAGTACAGCAATATCATCATCAGATCCTCACAAAGTGGATAAGAACATAATTATCCGCTGGCCATTGCAAGTAATTACACTGGAGTAAGTGCAAGTGTTAAAACTGTTATTCTTCAATTAGACTGCTACACATTTTTGTTCATGTCATAAGAATCACAGAATTCAGAAATTGAAACCAAAAAAGAAGCATAAATTGTTCATAGTTCCTGCATTAAATTGGACATTTCACTAAGTTGGAATCTTCATGTGATAAGTTTACAGGGAGAGTCAATAAAACAGAACTACCAATAAAGCACACTCCTTACAGCAGTCCAAGGTTTGTATTTATCCAAGAACCAAGGTATGATAGGAAGCAGAATCTTCTGTGATGTAATCTGTTCCATACAAATCGGCCATATCTTTTCAACAGCATGGTTTAGCCACCGAACAGATTCGGAATCCGAAAGCACCTGAACATGAATTAAAAGGCCAACAAAGCATTAAAAGGATAAACTTTACCAGATCAAAATCATGAATCTACCTATATATACACAAAGAGAATAAAACATAAAGTTGCAAAGCAGATGCTCCTTCCTCTTTCAATAAAGGGGGTTTTCATAAAGAAGCTGATTCTAAACATTTTCTCAAAACCCAAAAGACTTAAATTGACTAGAAAAAGTAACCGTTTGAACCAAATAAAGAAAGAAAAAACTTCCAATTAAAGAAGAAGAAAATATCTGCTACAGTAATCAGGACTACCCAGAAGGAAAAATACATCCAGGATGACAGATAATTAATACAAGTACAATCTGAATAAATCAATATCTTCAATAACTCAACAAGTAAAGCGAAAAAAGGAAAGAACTTGAGAATCACCCTTCTCCTAAAGTTTTGCCTTTTTTCGTCGAACTCCAATTTCTTCCTCAATCTCGTCACATACCTTTGATGAACCTTTGATCAGCAAAGAAATGAACAAATAAATTAAAAGAAAAACGAATCTTTGTAACAAAAAAGTACAATTAAGTTCAAAAGTAGGCAAAAGATCCAATTTTTTCTTTTTCGAAAGAAGATAAATTAATTACCAAGTAGAGGTAAATGAGAGACACGAAATAAGCAACCGGATGGCAAAGATTGTTGTGAGAAAGCATCCAAAGCAGCATCAAAACTAATCCAACATGAAGCATTATTGAAATCTCCATTAACCCCAATTCTAAAAACACAAAAAGAAAAAAACCCACTTCAACAAAAAATCACTACTTTTCACGGGTCTTATTTTCCATACCCAAATCACTATCATCAAGGAAATAAAAATATAAGAAAAGAATTTTTATGGAGAATTTATTAGGAAAAACAAAGGAATCTGAATCCAACCACTAGGAATTCCAAGGGTGTGTGCTTTGTCTGAATTGAATGCGTAATCCAAATGAAATGACGGTTATATATTACAATGATCGATTAATTAATTAATTATAAATAACAAATAGTTTTGAGTAAGGTAATGGAGTTTGACTGGTTTCCTCTCTGCTGGAAACGCTATCGTATAATCGAAGCAAAATTGGCTTCTGATTGGGAACTGTTAAAGTGGTCTCCTTGGGGAAAATATCCTGAGGTAATATTTTATTGGATAAAGAGTTGATAGATTGGGCGATTTTACTGATATATCATCAGTGAATAATATATTTTTTGATCTAATATCGGTTAGATTATATTTTTTGATCTAATATTTTTAACAGTAAAATTTGTCCTTACACCGTGTTATACGATGATTTGACGCCACGTGAGGTATAACGCCCCCTGCACCGCACTATATGGTGATCTGGCATACACGTGGGTATAACGCGGCCCCTACAGCGCGCTATACATTGTTATCTGACACGTGGGGTATAGCACGGTGCAGGGGCGCACTATACCCCTAATTACCCACCCTTCACGTCTCCATCCTCTCTATAAATATCCCCATCCTCAATCACTTTTATCACACTAAATTCTCTCAATTTCTCTAAATTTCTCTCAAATACTCTCTTTTTAAAGTATATTTATAATATTTTTACTATTATGTTTTTACTTTATTTAATATTTTACTAATATAATTCTTTTGCAAATATATAATGGAAGGCAGTCTACTTCGCTCGGATGGAAATCATATATCTCTACACTTTGCTAATACGGTAACATTTTAACGTTTTAAATTATTAGTAATATTTAGTTATTTATTTAATGCATGATTATTAGATTAAGAATTAAATATCTTGACACTTTGCTGATACGGTAACATTTTAACGTTTTAATTTAATTTAAAATAATTAGTTGATTCATTTAATGCATGATTATTAGATTAAGAATTAATTTTTGTAATTATTTATTTTTAGGAGAATGACCGTGTATTAGATCCTTTTATTAGGAATCTTAACTTAGTGATACCCAGCCGTGTCTTGACGTATTTAGCATATGGTGGATTCGGTGATTCTGGGTGAATGAATAGTCCAGTCTCAGCACCATCCGCACCAGGCTCACGAAGCGATTCTTCTGGTGAAGATGATGGTTCATCCATGCTCTCCACATTTAGGTCGTAGAACCTACTACTTGCACGCCTTCCCCTTGAACTGGAAGACATATCGACATTGAGATCGAAAAAGCTCGCAGTCGAATGCCTCCCCTAGAGCTTGAAGCCATCGCGTCAAATGAAAACTGCACAGATGGTTGCGTCGATGGCATCTACATAATAAGGTCAAAGAGATTTGCAGATGAATGCCTTCCCCTTGAACTGGACGCGATGTTGTCATACGGATTGTTCGTCGACCTACCTCGGTACATATCGTAAGGAGTTGCGGATGAATGTCTCCTCATTATGACATTAAAATCATTACACATTACTGTCGTCGGGCTGTCAACTTGATCAACTTGTTCAGTCAGCCCATAGTGGGAGCTTAATGATTGACCCCGAACAGCACACACTTGAACAAAATGTGCATACATCTCAATAGCGGCGTCTGAATAAATACTTTGAGCTTCAACCATCATTTCAACATCATCATTGTTCAAAAGTTCGAACGCTGTATAAGTTAATGACAACAATGATGTTGGAAATCTATATTGCAACGACGACACTCTTCTACTACTTCCAACATGAATCTTCCTCGAAATCTTCGTTATCAGCTCCTCAAGAGTTATGTTTCTCTTGAATGATATTTTAACACGCTCATTTGATACGAAAACAACGCCGTTTTCATCTTCTCGAATTTCACCATCATAATAAACAATAGCTGAAAGTCGCGCCATTATTTGAGTTTAAAAGTGCGACACTATTATATCTGCAAAAAAAACAAATGAAACAAACCTGAATTAATAAATTATATATGAACGAACATATAACACAATAAAATTTTTACACATCAACGTAAATAAATTAAATAATATAATTTAATATTATTACTTGCACCGTAAAACTATTTCGACGTATGCTCCCGCTTTCCAATTTTACAAACACAAAAATTAATTGAAAATAATTAAAATAATATTTTTTTCAAATAATCATAATAAACAATAAATATAATAAAAAATTATAACAAAATTACCTTATAACGAAAAATCGCACAAACTTCTAAATAAAATATAAGAAGATTGCCAGAATTATTAACTCGTTGACGGAATTGTTGTATTAATTTATAAGTTGAGAGAAGAGATGTGAGAAACTTAACCGGCAGAGAATGATATTTATAGCGAGGAAAGTTATACAAAACGCGGTACCTGCCCCGCGCTATATAAAATTATGTGTAAAGGTATGTCGCGGTATCTGCCCAGCGCTATATAAAATTATGTAAGGAGTAAAGGTATGTCGCGGTACCTGCCTCGCGCTATACCCCTACATGTCGTATAGCGCGCTACAGGGGCCGTGCTATACCCACGTATATGCCAGATCACCGTATAGCGCGGTACAGGGGGCGCGCTATACCCCACGTGGCGTCAAATCATCGTATAGCGCGATGCAGGGGACGCGCTTTACTGCTAAGAGTGTTAGATCGGGAAATATAATCTGACCGATATTAGATCGAGAAATATATTGTTCACCGATGATATATCGGAAAAATCGTCGATAGACAATTTTTTTTTTAAATTCATCGTCATACCTTTTAATCACTATTTTAAAAGATGATATAATGTTAAAATGTACTTAAAATCTGATTAGTTAATAATTTTGATTTTGATTTTCTCAAATTTATCTTATAATACACTTATTTTGAGATGATGAAACGTTGTAAGCAGTTATTGACCATTTTAGCTTAATTAATGTATATGGGATTACTCCATTTTTGTTGAATAAAACATTGGGTTATTATTCTTATTTTGCTTATAACTATTTTAATATTTTACTATTTGAATTTATTGAGCGATCTGAATGAAAAAAAATTATTATTTTTCTTAATAATTTCGAGTTTTAATATATATATAATGTGTATATATTATCGATAATTAAAAATTTCGAGTTTTAATATTCCACTGTTACGCCTAAAAAGAAGAATTCACCTTTCATTCATGTGTAAGCTGATTCTTCACCCATTTAGTGAAATCTAAGACTCCATTTTCAAAAAGCCTATTGCCAAATAGTACACATAATTTACTATAATTAAGAATTAACGTGCTATCATTAACTATATTACAAAATACAATTATAAAAAAAATGATCATTACATTTACTTAATTGGTGAGATCATTTTCTTTGAATCTTGATATTAGTTATTGAATATATAAATTGATATTAAGTTATGTTTAACATAGTATTTTAATTATCAAAATTTTAAAAATCAATAACTATTCAAATGATTAAAAAATTATTATTACATTTTATCAAATTATTATAAAATAATTATTAAATTAATCAAAATATTATAAAATAATGCTTAAATTTATCAAAATTTATTATTTTTATAATATATAATAATTATTTTATAATAGTTTAATAAATTAATAATTATTTTATAATTTTATAAATTTTAATAATAAAAAATATCCTAATATAATTTAATGATTATTTACGTACTTTACCCTTGATTTTTTCATGCTGCAAGTCTTTATCCAAGTGGATGATGCCTCTGCATTTTGTAATAAATTGTCTAATGCCTCTCGTTCAATGTATTTCTCGTCGTTTGACTGGCAGCTTTGATTGAATGCCATGTTTGTATGCTACGAGTTCCAACATTTGTATACTTTTTGGACAAGTTTTTTTTTAAAAAATTGTATAAATCATTATTAATGTTTAAATAAAAAAATTATACTAATATTTTAAAAATATCAATTTATAATAAATTAATTACTCAATCATTATTAACATTTGTATACTTTTGTTATAAATTTCCCATCCTCACCCTCGTCAAAGTCTTCTGTCCCATTAATGCTTCTTTCCACACAAAAATAATCTCATAAATTTCCCTGATTTAGTTACAAACTTAATTCTCTAGCCAAATTCTTAACATGCCAAAATTACAAGCAAAACTCCATTTGTTAGGTCACCTCGTGATCGCTTTTGCTTCATTTCTACTTGTATTCCCATGCGCTTGCCTTGCTAGGCACCGAAACGAGGACTGTGGTGTGGGTCTGTTTTATGTGGAAACTTGAATATCAGTAATCCATTTCGTTGAAAAATCAACCTCGTCACTGTGGTTACCACAGGCTTGAACTTGAGTGTGAGGACAACAATCACACCACTTTGCTATTGGGAGAAGGGAAATTCTATGTCCAACAAATCTTCTATGAAAATCATACTATTCGAGTGGTTGATGCAAACCTGGACATGGATGATTGCAACTCCCTTCCATTAACTTCTCCAGATATTTCTTCTTCCTGTAATCCGTTTTCGTTTTCGATGAATAATGGTCATAGTGATTATTATTATCGTCATCATCCTAAAGAGCGAGGGGCTAGCATCTGTATATTAAAGCCTCTCGTTGTACCACAAATCCAAATATCTCTTCCTATTTCTACTTTTTAGATCAAAGCACCCTGCCATCTGATTTCATCCAAGCTTGCACTGTGGAAGCAGAGGTTCATATTTCGGTTTATAATATATCAGGCATGTCTACTCTGGGTATCTACAAGATTCTGTCGGAGGGTTTTTTGGTTTCATGGGAGGAGTACTTCAACAAGGACCAGTGCAGCATCAAACTTTCATTTCAAGATGTGTAAGTTTTTTCAAGGATCTCAGTTTTATAGTTTTTTCAAGGATCTCAGTTTTATAGTCATAGGTTGAGTGCGGTTAATTAGATCATTATATTAAGATTTTTGGTTTAAAGCAATTGCCTTTGCCATCTGTTTTGAATTGATACTGTTTACAATTTCTTATATAACCTAATAGAAAAACGTTTAATGAGTTTTTGCATCAAACCTATCACTGTTTCTTTGGGTGTGTTCATATTGCAGATTGGATGGTGGGCAGTTACCCTTGGGAAGATATTGGAAGAGCTTTAAACATTTCCTTTTTCATGGGCCCTATCGACCACCTTCTGGTGAAATGTATAAAAGTATGCTTTGGCACTTTGCAGAGTTTATCTGCATTATATTTACTGATATTTTACCTTTTTTGTTCTCAAGTAATATTGATATACGTATATCTTTTGTCTTAATTTGTTTCTACAGGAACTTATGATCATGGTGTTGAAGCTACAGGTATGCATGTGGACTCTCTCTTTTGACAATTGTGGACTCAATTTTTATATATACTAAAAACTGAGCTATAGAAAAAATCTTCGAGTTCAGTTTAAGAAAATCTATGTTGATTTTATCATGTTTGGTATACAAATGAAACACAAAGCATGGATGATGTTATCAAATAATTTAATTGCTATTGAAAAATTCCTTGCATAAATTAGTGAAGATGTCTCTCTTCTAAACATTAGTTAAATATGAAAGAGCATAAAACAATTACATTTACAGACTTTGATAATGTAGGTAACATGTTATTGGATTTATTTCACAACTACTAATGTGCTGCAATTTGTTTTTTCTTCATAGTTGGACTTATCGAGGCCTTTGGTTGGGATACTTCTTTGCTTGCGCTTGTTGTGTATAAATGGAGAAGGTGACATCTATCAATGGATGATAAGATCGAAGAGTTCCTTTGAAGACAAGACAATCTAGTGCCGTAAAATTAGGCGAAGGGGGCTACGGCTCTGTTTTTAAAGGAAAGTTTCGTAGTGGGCAAATCAAAGGGTAATGGCCAAAATTTCATAAATGAAGTTGCCTCTATTGGGAGAATTCATCATGCTAATGTGGCAAAACTTATTGGATTTTGTGTGAAGGGATTAAAGCAAGTTCTTATATACGACTTCATGTCAAATGGATCTTTGGATAAAATCATATTTACAGAAGAAAATAACAACACTCTGGGATGGAAAAAAATGTTTGATATTATGCTTGGGGTGGCTAGAGGAATCGACTACTTGCATCGAGGGTGTGACATGCAAATTCTGCATTTTGATATCAAACCACACAACATTCTTCTAGATGAGAACTTCAATCCAAAAGTTTCAGATTTTGATCTTGCTAAATTGTATTCAGTAGATGATAGCATTGTCTCTCTCACTGCAGCAAGGGGAACAATAGGATATATTGCTCCTGAATTGGTTTACAAAAACCTTGGAGGCGTCTCATACAAAGCTGATGTTTATAGTTTCGGGATGTTACTGATGGAAATGGTGGGAAGGAGAAAGAATGTGAATGCATTTGCTGAGCACACCAGTCAAATCTATTTTCCATCTTGGATTTATGACCGATTAGATCAAGGTGAAGACATGGAGCTTGGAGATGTTTCTGATGATGAAAAAACAATGGTGAGGAAGATGATAATAACAGCCTTTCGGAGTATACAATTACTACCGGCTGATCGTCCATCGATGAGAAAAGTGTTGAGGATGCTGGAAAATGAGGATGAGTTATTTGAAATGCCTCCAAAGCCATTTCATCAACTTCCTCTTGACACATCATCGGAGGTTCATGGTGGTGAGAGCTCTAATGATGAGCCAACTACATCAATGGATTGTCTTACTATAACCAGTTCCAATGTCGTTTGAGGCCGGCGCTATTATTTCATACGCGTTTTCTTATTTTGTAATTTTCTTCTATTAATAAAATTTATGGGATACCAGACAAAGAAATGCGTTAGGACTTTGACTTTGAATTTTCTAATATATGTGGACCAGCTTTATTATACATCCACATGGTAGCCTTCACTAGTTCAGTTCATTCATTCTTCTTCTGATCTAACCAGATTTCAGCATGCCAAAATCAACACGACAACCTCCAGTGTTTGGCCTCATGGCTGCCATCGCTTTATTTCTAATCCTGGAAGCTTGCATCGCTCGAGTCGCAAATAGAGATTGCGGTTCTTCGATATGTGGAGACGTTGAAATCAAAAACCCTTTTCGGTTAACAACGCAACCTTCCAAGTGCGGTGATCATAGGTTTGAACTGGAGTGTGACAGTAACAACCGCACCAGTTTGGTCATGAAGTATGACAGATTCAATGTTCAAAACATCACTTATGAAACTCAGACGGCGCAAATAATTACCTATTCGAATATCGGATCCCAATTCCAAAACATCACTTATGAATCTTACACGATGCAAGCCATCGATGCAAATCTCAGCAAGGATGATAATTGCTCCCTTCCTCGCAGTTCCTTTCGCGTAGATGACTTTTGTAAGGTTCCCTATTCATTGAGCGCTCCATCTCAAATGATGTTTCTTGTGAACTGCAAGAGACCGATGAAATCTTCTTCGTATATTAATGCCTCTCATTGCCCCACTAGCTCTTCGCATCCACCTGCTTCCTATTTTTATTTTTTAGATGGGGAAACCCCCGCCAGAAAATTCGATGAATCTTGCACGATCGATGCCTTGGTTCCGATTATGGTCAAGAATATCAGCGGCATGTCTACTTCGGACATCTACCAGAACCTATTGCTCGTCTTTGAAATAGATTCTTTTGGACTCCAGTACTGCTACGAGAAGGAAAGGCCTTTTCAATTGAAGTAAGAGTTTCCCTCCAATCTCATCACTTAGATAAATATTTCATAAAAATACTTCATTTGAGTCTGTCTTGAATCTTGATATGAATTATTCAAATGCAATCCAGGTTAGAATCCTTGCAATATGCCTTGCAAACCTATGCATATAGCTTCGTGCATTTCTTGTTCAATGGCCCTCATGTATTCCAAAATACGTATTATGTATGTTTAATTCCCATATTTCAGTATTATCGATCAATTAACACTTTTGATTCATATTGAAATAATCATATTTTGCAGGTACTAGTGTTTTATATGTTGGAGTAACAGGTAATTAGCTTTAATTCTTCTATATATTGCACATAACAGTTAACTTTATATCGATCAGATTTTACTAACGCATTCAATTTTATCTATCTTTAAAAGGAGGAGTTATTTTAGCAAGATATTTACTGGGGACATGTTGCTTGATTGCACTTGTTGCATACAAATGGCGGAGAAGACATTTATCTGCCGAAGATAGCATTGAAAATTTCCTTAAAGGCCAAGGTGATCTAATGCCAATAAGGTACTCTTTTCGCGAGCTAAAACAAATGAGTAGCGCTTTCAAAGAAAAATTAGGTGAAGGTGGCTATGGCTCGGTATATAAAAGAAGGCTTCGTAGTGGTAATCTCGTAGCAATAAAGTTATTGGGCAAGGTAAAGGCGGATGGACAAGATTTCATTAGTGAAGTTGCTACAATGGGGAGGATTCACCATGTTAACGTGGCGAAACTTATCGGATTCTGCGTTGAGGGATCGAAACAAGCTCGATTTCACGCCAAATGGTTCTTTGGATCGGATTATATTTGCAGAAGAAAATAAGACCATTCTAAGCTGGCAAAAGATGTTCGACATTTCACTTGGTGTGGCTCGAGGGATTGAGTACTTGCATCAAGGCTGTTGAGTTAATCGATTGACGGAATTGGCCAAGAGGGGGATGAATTGGCAATAAAAATTTTGGTGGAAGCTTTTGCAGAAAATTGAAAGAAATTGCACAGCGATTTAGAGTGGTTCGACTTTCTCAACCAAAGTCTACGTCCACTACCTTAGCTATCCACACTAAGGATTTTCCACAAATTCACTAATTTATCTTTCTTTTGAGGACAAAGAGTAACCTTACAAACCCTCAAGAATTATACACCAAATTCTTGAGAACACTCTCTTCCAAAGAGAACAATACAAATTTGCAAACTTATAAGGAAATCCTCAAAAGGTAGATTGTTTGCACAATTCTAGAACAAAGAAAAGAACACTCAAGAATGAATACAATTGAGCACAATAAGTGTTCTTGAAAGCAAAATGAATATTGAATGAAAAATAGGCTTGAAATGCTCAAACTTGAGGTTTGATGCTTTCTCTTTGATTCTCTCTTGATTCTAGTTGCTTGATGTTTCTTGTTGTTGATCAATGGCTTCTAAGCTTGCTTAAATACACCTTGAATCACTTCTGAACGTTGGGGATCATTAATGAAGATAATATAGTCGTTTTAGTGTGAAATCAATTAATAAAACAGTTTGGAGTGTGGGGGGAATCGGTACCCCTTAAGGGGAATCGGTTCCCTAAGTATAAAATTCAAATATTTCGACCGTTACACAGGGGGGGAATCGATTCCCTCCGAGCATATTGGAATTCTCGGAGCCAAACCATTCAGGAGGGAATCAGTTCCCTCTGAGCAATCTGGAATTTTTGGCTTTGAGATGGTTCGAAATATTTTGTAAAATCGTTTTGAAATTATTTTAAGATTAAAACTTAATTTTACACTTGAGTAAGGATTAAAAATGACATTTGAAAGATTTGGAGTAATATTTTGATATTCGAATAATTATATCGAATATACTTAGAAAACCTTTTTGGAAAATCTTAAAATTTATTTAACTTAATTTGTTATATCGAAATATCAAAATGTTTTCAACAATCTCCCCCTTTTTGATATAACAAAATATTTTAGTAATTTTAAGATTTTGAAATCAAAAACGACGTTTTTGAAAAATTACTCCCCCTTACTTTAACACTTCTCCCCTTTAAAACACTTAACACTTCTCCCCCCTTTTTGTTAAATCAAAAAGACTTGTAAAAGATTTTAAATAAGGTTTTTAAATCATATAGCCAATTGAATATATATAGTTTAAGCTGATAAGATCACAATCAAGAGAAATGTTAGCCATTAGTTCCATAATCAATATTCATAATTATTGTGATATGGCAAAATTGGTCATATTGCTAAAATGATGTAAATGATGCAATAATGAATAAATTTAACCACACAATATATAAGTTCAAACATCCAAACAAATCCAAAGTCTAACAATCCACAAAATCAAACAATCCAAAATATTCAAAATGTTGAAACAATAATCTTTTAGTTCAAAGTTCTAAAGCTAAACACAGAATTAAACATCCGGATCGGGAGGAGGAAAACGAGCTCGCATAGCGGCCATCTCGTGTGAGAGTGCATCAATACGTTTATTCATCGAAGCGTTGTTTGTGCGCATCTCTTGGAGGATTTCTAATTGTTGAGCTCCCATTGTGGATAAATGGGACTCTATAGAAGTAAAGCGCGAATCCATGGTAGCATATCGGAAATCGAATGTCTCCATAAAAGATTGAAAATATGGAGGCATTTGATGTGTTTGTTGTGCTTGCTCCTCGGGCTGCTCCTCAGGCTGTTCAGTCTCATCTTCGGCTTCATCGATGTCTCGCATTAATTGTTGAAGCTCGGGATCGTCTTCAGCTTCTGGTTGAGCTCGTGAAGAACTAGCTCCGGAGTATTTTCAGACGATCGAACCCATTCACCGGTTTCCTTATCCTTTATCCATCCCGCTCTCGTTAAAGAAAGAAGATTAATTTGTTTCTTTAGAGGAAAGGAGGCATCTAGACGTACTTTAAGCCCGGCTTTAGAAAATAGATTACTCAAAATGCAACCGTAAACTAAAGATGAACAAAGTTTCTTGTTAGGAACAAGATTTACGGTTTCAACAATTTCAGCAAAAATGATCTGAGGTAGGTTTATTTTAATATTGTTTTCGAAACAATGTAACCACCAAAGATCCAAGGCTCTAAGAGTAGAATAACGACCTCCGGATGGTCGAAACCACCAAGAAATCATTAGATGAAGAAAACGTTCATGAAGGTCTAAGACACTTACACTATCCCTTCTTTTATAACGAGATCCTAAGATTTGTTTTTCATTTGAAATACCATAATTATCTAATCCGAATGCATTGGCTATGTAAGCTGAGTCAATAAATAAGAATTGTCCTAGGAGGTAGGAACGAACTCCTATGGTTTCGGTTTCAGTTCGGTTTTTAACACAAATTGCATTAGAATAGAAGATACGAACAAGTTGATGGTAGACAATGGGTTCAAGCTCAAAGAGTTTATCAAATTTCCACTCTTGTAAGAGAGGAAGATATTTAAAATTAATATCTAACATAGCTTGACGAGAAGGGATACGTTCTTCTCTAATTTTGTAAGAGTCGAAGTATTGATAATACCAAAAACGATGATTTCTAGGACCAGGATGATTGAAGCACAAGTTTTGGATCGTTATATTGGGATCAACTGGATTAGGATTAGGAATTGGAATTTCAGGAATAGGAGGAGGATTTGGTTGACGGTGTGAGTGACTAGATGATGACCTAGCACGTTTAGGATTGGACATGGTTTAGGAAATCGGAATAGAATGGATAACCTGCAATTTAGAAAACACATGTATGCAATTCAATCAATCCCAAAACTCAATTGAGTCATCAATATTTCAAGGTTCTCTAATTCAATCCTAATGGGCAAAGTTTTTGAAAACTATTGAAAATAAGATTTTGAAAAACAATATATGTATAGTTTTCATAACAACAACATAATTCAATCAAAACACAATAATTTGAAAAACAATTTTTTTATTATTTCAAAATTTTCAAATATTTTGGAAAATTCTTGTGTTTTTGATGAAATTAGTTGTAATATCTAGTTTCTAATCACTAAACAATCAATGCCCGATCACTATTTCTACCTAGAACTAATTAAAACTAGTCCTATGTTCAAAATCAATGAAATAGAGAGTTTAGAAAATTTTACCTTGAAAGATGAGATTGAGTGGATTTTGATGTTGTTTGCACGATTTTAATGATACTAGCAGGTTTAGAAGATGACGTTTGAAGTGAATTTCGATTAAAATCGTTGATTTGAGGCAAAATAGAGATATAAAGAGAGTAGAAGAGGAGAAACGACGTGAATGAGATAAGAAGAGGGTTTGAGGTTTTAAGGGTTCTGCCCGTGTTAAAATCCAGAACCCCAGGGGGGTATCGATTCCCCTGTGGGGGGAATCGGTTCCCCTTCAAAGGGGGAATCGGTTCCCTCATGGGGGTATTGATTCCCTCTGCACCAAAATGCTAAAATCTGATTTTAAACACACAAAATGCTAAATTAATTTTCTCTAGTGGTATTGGCAACTCATATATTGAAAATTAATCATGTTCAAACAATCAAATTATTCTTTAAACGATATTTGAACATAAAATTAATTTTTCATCAAGAATCATAAACTCCCCCTAACTAATAGCAATGAATGCAATAAAAAATTAGCATTTTTCATTTAGTCTTAAAAGTGCTAAAATTATTTTAAACACTAAGTGAAGATAGGTTGGTCAAACCTAATTCTCTCCTAAGTGTCCAAAATCTTTCCTTGTCTAAAGGTTTTGTAAAGATATCCGCTAATCAGTGCAAAGTATCAACAAATTCTAGAACTACATCTTCCTTAGTGACATGGTCTCTAATGAAGTGATGTCTTATTTCAATGTGCTTAGTTCTAGAGTGTTGGATGGGATTTTTAGTGAGACAAATAGCACTAGTATTGTCACACTTGATAGGAATGGTACCAACTTCAATTCCATAATAAAAAAGTTGTTGT